AGTAAATGTCTACAAAAGGAAGGCAATGAGAAAGGTAGGACAAGAACTGAGGGAAGAATTTCCAGAAGGGCATGGCAGGCTGAAATGCCACAGACAAAGTGACATGATAACTGAAGAGTCTAAAGAATCCCGCCTTTGTGGCATCATGGGTGACTTTACCAGGGTGGTGTTAAAAGCAGGGCTGGTGTGGAAGCTAGCATTCTGCCTAAGAATAAACCTGCACCTGAGTAGAGAAGATGGATCCCTCCTCAGAGTAGCAGTTTGTGATGGGAAGGAAAGAAGAATGGTAGTGGGAAAAGTCTTCAAGTGGAGCACATTTCTAAGCTTTTGAGGCAGTAGCAAAGGCAATATGGAGAATTCAGGGGAGAAAAACGATGGGACAGGGTCCCAAGGAGACTGAAAAAAATGGCATCGGGCTTGCTGGCAGAGGGAGGCATTAGCTGTGAAGAATCGGGCTAGTCCCACTTTTAAGACTGAGGGAAAGGACATAGGATAAGCTCAGATAGTGATGCATTGATAAGCGTGGAGTGAGAAGCAAGGAAAGACACCTATGGAATAGTTCTATTTTCCTCATAAAATAGAAGCAAGGGAGAGAATGTGAAGAAAATAGTGGTTGTGGATAGTTAATGTTGGATGAAAGTGGTCAGGGAGTTGGGCAAAACAATTCTAGAGAACTGACACTGAGGGCATAGCTGGACTGGAGACCAAGACGTTTTTAATCGCTTTAACAGGTAGGAATAAGCAACTCTTGGGACACCTCTCACCAGCTCAGGTATAGGTATGAGAATCAGCCTCTCCATGCTTCAGGCAGGTTATAGAAAGGCAGAATGAGGGTAAATGTAACAGCAATGGGAACCATTTGATAGTCACCCTCTCTGGCTCCTTGTATTCCCTCAAGGCCTCAGTTCTGCCATCAAAATCTGTGCCTACCATTGGACTATCAACTACTATTCTAAAAGGAAAAGAGGGACTATCACCCCCACCCCAATTCAAAGGGAAGAATCAATCAATTTGTTAATTAAGGCATTTTTTCCTGGGAATCTCAGAGTGCTCCAGATTACAGGTGCTAAAGCAATGTGCTACTATTTATCTTTTGATTAAATGTTTTAGCCCTCTGATGTGAAGTATGCCCCCCCCTTTTTCCATCTAGGATGAAACAAAATTAAGGACATTCATTTTCAAGGCTTTATGTATAATAGATAGGATTAGTGGGATTAAGAAGCACATGACATGTAAAATAAAACTACATGAATATAATATTTAAATTATTCAGTAGGTGAGCCTATAGGACATAACAATGCTGTTCTGCTGAGTCCAGGGACCTTAAAGCTTCTTTCCATGATTAATGTCTCCATTCCCACAGTTACCTTTCAGGTAGGTACACAGCTAGGTTTTTTTTCTCTCTTTCTCTTTTTAGTTTGCTATAGGGTTTGTGTGCTTGCTAGAGAGAGACAGAAAGGGAGACAGAGAAGAAAACTGAGAAGCCCTTCCTCCCATCCACAGGGATGATCACATCGCAATACCTTCTCTATTCTCCTCTTGAGATTTTGGGACATGTATCCAAAAGCATCTAGTGCATTTTTCTTTTGTTTTCTTTCTTTCCTTTCTTTCTTTCTTTCTTTCTTTTTTTTTTTTGAGAGTTTTTTGCTGTAGAGCGCATGCACTCGCCAGAAAGACAGAGACAGAAAACAAGAAATCACCTCCCAGGGGGGATGGCCACACAGCAATCCCTTCTCCTCCATTCTCCTCTCAGGATCTTGGGCACGCACGCACATGTGCCCTTCATGAGTTTAAGCCACCGGGTCCAGGACTTCAAACCACGGTTGACTACATAGGAGTCCAGTGACGTAGCCATCTTTTTTTAAAAGATAGTTATTTATTATTATTATTATTATTTAATTTGGGCAGAGTGAGACAGGAAGAGAGAGAAAAGGAAAGTGAGGAAGAAAGTTGCAAGGTCCAGGACTTGAACCACTGTTGAGTCATGTGGGAGGCCAGTGCCTTAACCACCATGTCACCTGCCAGCCCCAACCAGTGTTCTTTTCAAGGCATCAAACTCTAGACTTGAACTGCTCAGTTGGCCATGTGGGATTTAGCCTTCTTAATCGGCTGGCCCTAGATTTCCTCTCTAAACCTCATCAGTAAGAATAAAATGTCTGCTGGAAAGAACTAGGAAAGAACTTCTCTTCTTCCAATTTAACTTCAGGAAGTTGTTTTACCATGTTGTTCTGATATTATTGTTGGCTATTTTAATTGACTTAATGAGGAGTTTTTCTTTAGAAAAAAGTAAGGTGTATGTTTTTGTTGTTCAAGAGAACAGAGATAATGCAGTTGTTTGTCAGCATCATAACAGGCGAATATGCCTATAACAATAGACTGAATGAATCCTAATTTGATTTATAAAATAATACCATCATCAAGTCAAGTAAAAATGATTTTAAAAAGAAAGGATTTCATAGATTTATGTCCACCTCCTTAGTGAGGTCTTTCAATATAAGTACCTGTAGCAAGCTGTATTTTTCAAAAATGGCTACAGTAATAATTTTGGTACCATATGCTCTTTGAGAACTTTGCCTTTCATTATTAAGAGGTAGGGTGTATTTCCCTTCCCCTAGAAACTGGATAAGACTTTTTGATCTCCTGGATAAATATAATGTAGCAGAATTGACAACACATGATTCCTAAGTCTAGGCCACTAAAAGGTAGTATGCTTCTGCCTGGCTTTCTTCCCTGGAATATATGCCCTTGGAACCCAGCCACCATGCTGTGAGGATGCCCAATCTACGCTAAATGCCATAAGAGAAGGTCCACATGGAATTAGAACAGAGGCCTCTAGCCCCTCGCCAGCATCAGCCTCTAACATGAGAGTGAAAAGTTTTCAGATGATTTCAGTGCTCAGCCTTTAGTCTTCCAATTGAGTTCACCATGTATAACGGAGCAGAGAGAAGCATTCCTACTGCTATGTGATTTTTATTAAAACTACTTTTCTTTCTTTCTTTCTTTCTTTCTCTCTCTCTCTCTCTCTTTCTTTCTTCCTTCCTTTCTTTCTTTCTTTCTTTCTTTTTGAAAGAAAGAAAAGGGGGGGGGGGAGAGGGACCAGCAGTTAGAGTAATGGCTATGTCGCTGGACTCCCACGTAGTCGACCGTGGTTGGCGTTCCAGACCTGGTGGCTTAAAACTCACGCCAGGCGCATGTGCGTGCGTGCGTGCCCAAGATCCCAAGAGGAGAATGGAGGAGAAGAGATTGCAGCGTGGCCATCCCCCCTGGGGGGTGATTTTTTGCTTTCTGTCTATCTGGCAAATACAAGCGCCCTATAGCAAAAACTTCTCAAAAAAAAAAAAAAAAAAAAAAAAAAAAAAAAAAAAAAAAAAAAAAAAAGAAAGAAAAGGGGAGAGAGAAAGCAGGTCTGGGACTTGAACCATGGTTGATATGTGTGATCCCAGAGCTCTTAAACACCATGTCACCTGCTGAGTCCAATGCTATGTGGTTTTTGACCCACGGAATCTGTGAGCATAATAAATGATTGTTGGATATTGCTAAATAGTTTCATACCATGTAATACATCCATAAGAATGGAAAGGGCACATATCTGTGCCATATATATATATTTTTTTTCCAATCTTTTAAATAACATAATTTCCTTTAGTACTTACTTACGTATCATAAGTTTAGTCATCCCTGTGTTACAAGTGGTTTAGAATTATTTTTTCCATTACAACTAAGGCTGAAATAACCACATTTCACCTACTTGGGTGCAAATGTCAATAATTCTGCAGGATAAAATCTGTAAATGAGTTAAATACATATAAGACAATTCGAACAGTGTCTAGCACTCAGTAACAAGTTTTATTATTATCATCATTATCTCTATAGGTTAAGCAATTTCATGGAATATGATAGTTTTCCTTTAACATCTTTTTTTTTTTTTTAAGTTCTGCCAGAGGAAAGGAGTAATTGCTAGAAAGAGAGAGAGGGAGAAAGCCTCCCCCCATAACCCATGAAGAAATGGTCATGCAACAATCCCCTTTCCTCTATTTCTCCATTCCAATGGAATTTTGGGTGGGTGGGCACAGGTACAGGTACACACACCCTGCATGTTTCTCAAGCTCCAAGTCTGAGATTCCAAGACAAGGTTCTTATGTGGGTTCCAGCTGCCTTAACCACCAGGCCCCAGAGCTTGAGCCAGCCCCCTTTAACTCTGTAAGTGACAAGAAAATATATCTAACTGCCATGTTATGGTGTATCCCATTTTTCAGAGTTTAGATTAGGGCAAAAAGTTGTAAAGATGTTCCGTCATAGAATTATATCCCTGAAAAAGTCCATCTGTAGCATACCTGACCAGCCTTACAAATCAGTTTTTAAAAGCCTGCTCAGTGGGCAGAAGACTTACACTATCTGCTGCCTCTCAGCTCAGACCTCCTGAAAATCACCAACTGCAGACTAGAGAAGAAAGAGAAGAGTCCCAGAGTCTCACGCTCAAGTGTGTGTGGCAGTTCTGTCCCTTCTGCCCAAGCTAAGATAGGCAGACCACTTGGCAGGAAGGAACAGGACACCTCTTTACTTCCAGCCTATCACAGTTCATGTCAAAAATGCAGAAATGGGCTTGTGAGCCGTGATCACTCTTTGGCCCTTCCCTGGGTGTGCTTGAAGCTGCTAGAAGCACCTGTTAGTCACCTTTAGTCCAGTTTCCCTGGGCAGCGGAGGGGAGTAGGGCGAGCGGGAAGCCTACCTGTTCTCTAGTCTCAAAGGGGCAAAGGCTGGTAAACTTAATTCATATTGTAAACGACCAGGTTTCGACAGCCATCCCCCTATTTTCACAGTTCAAGGCTTTTCACTTCCTCTCTTTTTCGATCTGCTTTTTAGATTTGCTCAATTTTTCATCACTTCTCCCCTTGCCCCCGCCGCCCCCATCCCGCTTGCCCCTGGTCAAGGCGAACGCTAAACGCTGTGTAGCCGAGGAAAGTCATTTTTAGGTGACTTGCAAACGGCCGGGTCCGCAGGCCACGAGCTGGCGCGACTGCCCGCAGCTTCGTGGGGGCGGCAGACGGAGAGGAACCGCCGGCTCAGCCCATCCTTCCTAGGCTCGGCGTGGCGAGCTCCGCGGGTTGAGGAGCCCAGAGCCGATGCGAGGGGACAGGGCGCGGATGACACCAAAGCCCTCTGCCTCTTCCCCGCCCCACCCCTGAGCACGCCGCCTCCAGAAGCCCGCAGGAGACACCTTCCTCCCCGCCCCTGCACAGGTCACCTCCCTCCACGCCCCTTTCCCTTGGCCGGGCAGCCGGCAGGCAGGGAAGTGTCGTAAAGCCAGGCCCAGGAAACTTTACCCGGGGTAACAGCCGAGGCGCTTTACGGCGGCGGCGGCGGAGTGGGATCCTCGGCGGCGGTGGTGGCGGCCGCGGCGGCGGAGGCGGCGGCGGTGGCTGAGGAAGAGGAGCGGCGGCAGCGG